GCCTTCTCTTGCAAGTAGACCAGAAGTCTGCAGTGGCAGAGTCAGAGCTGATTGCCTATCTTATCTCAAGTCGCTAGTCTCTAATTCAGGCTTTTACAAACAACTACCAGTCCTGTGTCTTTCTGGAGCTACAGGTTAGTGTTTAATGTACTGCTTTCCTGGGGCTTTGCCTATCAAGCTGGAGGAAAAATCCTTTTGCCTTTTTGATCCCAGTTGGGAAGGGACTGAAATCAAAATTCAAGGGCCAGAGAACCCTGAAGGGGAAAAGGTGAAGGACAAGGGGATATTGCTCATCACTCAGGACCACTTTTTCTTGAAATCATCCTGGAAGCACAACAGGCTGTGACTTACGAGCTCTACTTCAAATATGTATTTAAAAACAAAAATCGAACTAACTTGAGTTCACTTTATTCTTGGTCAGTAAGCTGGTGATTGTTTTAAAATTTGTTCATTTTTGGACATGTGAAATTTGAAGTTGTATCTGTGAGGATGAGGACTGACTGAGATAACACTAAAGAAAAATTTCCACAGAAATTATCTGACTTGCCTTCATTATCAGGTCATGAAAAAGGTTTCTGAGCAGTTTATGAAGAGCTGTCTGTCTTTGGAGAGACACAGGCTGCCCTCCAGAATGGCAGTTGCAAATAGGTATGTCTATGTGCCAGTACTGCCATTCGGTTTAATTCAGTGTTATACCTTTTCTGTGCTGTGGGACTAGCAAATCACTCTAAAACTTGTAAGAGAGCTCAGCATAGCATGCATGGTCTCTTTTTCCCAAGTTCTGGACTATGGGTTTATGCTTCTTGGTATGGTAACAGCCTGGTTGCTTAGGAAAAAATGGTGCAACTAGCTGCATTTTCTGGTAGCAGCTTCTATACTTCACATAGGTACTATGAAATAACAGACTGCAGTGATCCCATTAACAAACCTGTGGGGCTGCGAGGCTTAATTTGTTCCAGTGCATTTTTATATCTACTTCTCACTCAAAATGAAGTGTTGCTCCTCGGGGGGGGGAGGAAGGACAGAAAACTGCTGGTGGAGAATGGAATAATTTTACTTACCAGGAGGTGATCACAGGTATTTCCTGTTGCCGGTCCTAGATTATTTCCTTATGTAGTAGTTCAAAGATGCCATGAAAATGGTAAATCCAGTGTAAGCTTTCTGATTAGCATGATGAGCGAGCATCTCATGATTGCTGGGAAGAATGCTCTGACCTCTGGGTGTTGAATATTGAACATGTGCATTCATGCTGTGCAGCATCTCAGTTTGTCCTGCCTTGGTCGTGTATCAGTCCAGCTCCTGAACATGATTAAATCACTTGCAGAAATAGTGATTCTTTCTTTTTTTGAAAGATGTAATTATAAAATCTGCTCTCCCCAGCTTGTTTGACTTGGACACAATTTAAAAGTCTAACATCAAGCTGATATATTTTTTTTGTACTAGCTACTGCAGAATTCTGCAGTCCCCAGGAGAAGATCATTTACATCCCCGAGAGAAGATCATTGCAGAATAAAACACCATAATGTTTCAAAACATAATTTTTCGAACTCCTAGACAAGCTAGGCTGCATCTACAATAGCATATCAGTGCTTCTGGAGCCCATCTCCTACATCCCCCCTTAGCATGCCTTGGTTAGTGTTGTGAGGCAGCCCTGAAGGTCGCAAGGCATTTCTTCTTGGATGGAAAGGAAGCAGAAGATGTGTTCCTGCTGCACTGCAGCTAATGGGTGTTGATTCTGGGGCAAAGCAGATGAGAGTGAGGCTGAAGCTCCCTCCAAGCTGCATGCAGGGTGCAAGTTGGGCTCCCTCCACCACTTGCTGTGCTCTACAGATCCCTCCTATTGCAGTGTCACTGCCTACTACTGTAGAGCTGGCCTTAACATTCTGTTGGATTTTAACTTACAGTCTGTGTTCTTTTCGCTTGCTTCCATTTTATTACTTTGATGATTTCACAGATCAGTGAAACTCAACTGTCCCAATCCAGTTGTTGGTTTTGGTTGGTTGGGTTAGGCTTTCAGTGGGTTCTGGTGGTTTGGCTGTCTTTCCTTCACCACGCTTTTACCAGAAACTGGACATCTAAAGTTTATTTTGGAAGTACATCAATCTGCTGTTTCTCCCACAACTCAAACACTTTAGTAGCTGCATATATATTGTAGTGTATGTTAATCAGTCAAATCTGCTCTACATATCTAGAATAATGTTTTTGTCTGCAGGCCTGTCACACGCCTGATGGTGCAGGAAACTTGCCCAGGGCAAAACCTCTGAATGGGCAAAGCCACAAAGCATCTTAATGGCACACTTATCTGCTATTTTTTTCAGTTGGTATAGAAAAAAGCAAGGCCTGGTGGCTGTATACACAGACTGGCTTTCTAACACTAATAGCATCAGTTCTGCGGCTTCTGAGGGAAGCTCTACTGTGATCTCAATTAAGTACATTTTCTACTTAATGCCAGACTTAAAACTCATAATGATGCATAATACGAGATTTATTGCTGTTTGTGTCATTATTTGATTCATTGTGATTTTGCTGTAGCGTTTGCTAATTCACTATTGGTGCATGCATAATGGGTGGGGTTTTCAGTAGGGCTCTCTATCAACCTGAATGCTTTTCTGTTGTGGCTTATGAAGGCTTAAATTGGCTCTTATTTCAGTCAGTAGGTCTCAGCACTGGTGGCGAGAAATGATTGTAAACAACAGTGAACACTTCCTCAAAATCTTTCTCCATATACATATGGATTTCTCCTGTTCTCAGCCCCAAAGACAGTATGTCTATGTTGGTTCTCCCTGGACAGCCTTCTATTCTTGCACTGATCTACTCTGCAGTGTGTACTTGCATATACTGCTTGAGAACGCATAATTAATGCTTTGCATACGTGCAGTTCTGGCTGTTTCACTTCAAGAAAACAAGCTAAAGTCCACACCTTTTGGTTTGAATGCTCTTTTGCCAAAGCTGCTGCATGTGCAATGTTTCAGAAGCATGCTGCTAATCAACTTCTCTGATTTATGTCTCACTGTCGGGAAGGCTGAAACTGTTCAGGTAACTCACAAGTGAAATGCTTTCTGTTAGTGAAATAAAGAAAGTAATATCCATCAGCACGTAATGTGAATGTTAACTTGAGCACAGCCACAGCATCACACACCAGAGTGACTGAATCATTGCAGAAATGCATTCAGAACCAGCCTGCTGAAACCAGATGATCTTTGAAGGCTTTTCCAACCCAAGCCATTCTATGGTTCTTTTGCTTCTGGCTCCTATGGTACCTCAGGGAAACTTTCAACTGGTCTTGGTAACAGCAGTGTCAGCTCCTGCTGAATTGGAGGGGAGAAGGAGAGAGAGAGTCTTTATGTTTTTGTGGTGGTTAGACAGGAGAAACATGACTTTTTCTAAATAGAGCTAGCTAGTGACTCTTGAGCTGTACCAGGACAGCTTTTGCCTGGGTTGTTTTTGACATCATAGCATTCCGCCCTTGCTGTGTGCTGCTGCTGACTGGTGTGCAAAGAGCTCCCCTTTAGACTTTGCCACTTTAACATTAGTGAGTGCTGTCATAAAACATAGAATATAAACTCAGAGAGACACCTACCCATGCCTGAAGTGCAAACAGCTTGCTTCTTGCCTCTGCAGTAAGCCAAAGCATTCAGTGCAGCAATCAAGCCTTTCTGACCAAGCTGATCAGCACTTGCAAGCACTCTGTCTCACAGCTGCTGTCAGGTGCCTGTCACACGGGCTGCAGATAATGGTCTGGGGGTAACAGCTTGCTGTCCCTCTATTCTGAGCATGGCAGGATCACCCCTGGGGCTAGGCTCGCTGTATCTCTTGCCTGGCTCTGGCACTGCTGCAGGGAGGCTGCTAAGCCTGGCTGTAAAATGGTATGACTACCATGTTTCCCTCCTGCTTGTAAGCAATGAAAAATGCTGCCATGTTACTTGGATAGTTCCACTCAGGTCTGAACTAGCAGCATCCTTCCAGTGACTGCATTATCTTCATACTGACCTTGTTAGTTGAACAATACATTGCTTCCATATGGAGCTGAAGACTTGTTCATGTTTCAGTCTGCTAGAATGCTGGTCTTGATCCAATCCCAAGCAGTAGAAATTGTACTAATACCTGCAGGCTGAGACCTTGAGAATATCAGAGATTTAAGTACCAGTGTAAAACAAGTTATTCTGATTTTACTTCCCCTCCCTCCCCCCCCCCAAAAAAAACCCTCTAATTTTGCCCATCTTGCTTCATCTACCGAAACATTTGAATGCTTTCCTCATAAAAAGGTGTAGATCTCAACTGTAATCTTATGGATCCTTCTACTGTAGTTATTAAAAAAAAAAAAAGTAGCTGGTTAATTGGTTATGCTTTGAGATCTCTGGAGTGTAAAAAGGCTAGGGTTTAGATCTTGGGTGCTGTATGTAGGTGACTAAAAATGAATGGGCTTGTCTTGGTGTGCTGTGCTAAACATTAGAGACTGGTAAGCTTGGGGTAGAGCACAGGATACGAGGACCATGCATGGAGTGAAGACTTCTTTCTGAAGCATCACACGGTGTCCTTGTGGCACTGCAGATAATGCATTGAAAACCTGGGGACAATCTTCATGATGTCTCTTAAGAGTAAAAATCTTGCCATTTAAATAAAAAATAACTACAAACACATGCTGATCTGAAGATGAATGATCACTCAGAATCTCATCCCTGTGTGGGATAAGTAGAAAGCTACCAGCCACCATGTGCTTCTAACTCAGAGGGGGATATACAAACTCAAGCTAAACAAATGAAGACATGGAAAGGTATGTTAATGCTAGGAAAATGGAAATTGGGAACTTGTAGGAAAGTACAGAGTTGTGTGTACTCGCACTTGATGTGTATTCCTGATGGAAAGAGGTAGAAACTTTATTTTGGCTTGGAAGCAGTACATTCAAATGTAAACCTAAAATCTAACAGGCTCTTTAAGAGAAATTTGCTCATATATTTACTCATCTGTGTTTTCTTTCCTGGAGACTGGACAAACTCTGCTAGCAGATGCTAACAAATCAGGAGAAATCCTAGTGCCATCAATTCAGAATGCAGACAATGCTATTGTAAGTACTCTGACAATATAAATATGCAGTGAAGCTGTAATGGCACTGAGGAGACTGAGGTGGTTCTGCCCTTGTAAATTAGCATGCTTTTGACATGATGGTGCGGTGATGGGATGGCGGTGTCAAGAAAACTTAGCCTTCCTGGTCAGGTTTGGATGTGGGCTGCTGAGGCAAAGTCTCAAGAGGTGTATGGTCTTGGGCCTCAGTGTGCAAGAACACCTGGTATCTAGATCTGTGCTTTCTCTGTTGGCTGTAAGAGGCAAACACAGGTTTTGAAGGTAGGTACAAAGGTAAGCCGTTCAAAGCCACTCACATCTTCACCAGTTCAGTTACTGTATGCTGGGTGATGGGGTGTAGTTTGCTTACTTTGCATCCTCAGGCTGCTACAGCAGCACAGGTAGTCAGTCACTGCACGTGTAACTGAGTTCTGAGGCTTTTGAGCCCCAAACGCCTAGCTCCTTACATCGCTTGGTATGCTGTGATTCTTCTGACCGTACCAGCTCATGCAGTCCCTTAGATGACTACATCTGTGTTTTTCTTCCCTTTTTTTCCAGCTAAAAACAACTGAAAATACTTAGCTGCTTCCTCCTCTGCGGTGAGAATTTGGCTGGAATCTTCCTGGGAATAACTATCAGTCACTTGCAAAAGAGTCCTACCTCTCTGAGCCTGCTTGTGAGCCTAAGCTTTTATCGGGGCAAGTTTAATTCTCAGTGGCTTTGCTGTGAATCCTTTTCCCTCTCATTGCCTGCGATGGGCTACACAGTGTTATTTTGGCTGGGGAAGGTCAGAGTGAAGGCATCTTCCCCGAGGGAGGTGGGCAGTTGAGTTTGCTGAAATTCTTTGTTAAATCTCTGCCTGTGAATATCTCTCCATGGGCAGCACCCCTTATGAAGTGTCTCTGGAGCGTGGCTCATGTGCAAAGCAGTTCTGCTCCCAGCAACCTTAGGTGGGATGACCATGGCATAGGAAAACAGCTCAGCATGGCTATTGTGACAAAGGCTGGGTTAGAATCCAGACAGAGGCTTGAAAAACAAGCTGACCTTGAATGATGCTTTAATATTTTTTTTTCAATGCAGAGAGAGTAGAATACAGCAGATTTCTATTTTAAGCGTTGTAAAGACATACTGGAGAATGGTTTGCTGGGCAACCAATTCTGGCTGCTGGGGAAATAAAGGCAGGAGCTTGGAAGAGTTGGGGTGCCCATACAGCTGCCTGGCTAGCTATTGAGGAGCCCAGCCTCTGCCTCACCGGGGCTGCCCTTCCCCTAGACTTGTGCTCCAAGCTCCCCAAAACTCATCTTCAAAGTTCTTTGTCCAGTTGCAGACAGAAAGCTGTAAATCTGTACCTTTGTTTAGTGTGGCATGTACTCTGCCTCTAATCCAATTTCCCTTCTGTTTGTTCTCTGTACAGCCTCATTCGGCCTGACAGCTATTTAATAAACCTATTTGCTTTTCTTTGACATGAGGCAGAAGTTGTGGGTGTTGAAGAGCCATAAGGCCCTAGTGGACAATGAAACCCTTTCCCACTCAACACTCTTCCAGCTCAGCACAGATAAATTGTGTAGAACTAGGGAATTAACCCATCCTATCTTTAAAAAAAAAAAAAAAAAAAAAGCATTCACAGGCTGATCCACAATCGATTTGAGGTGGTTGCTTTGCCCTCTGTAGTGAGAAATTCTCTGACTGCTATGAAATGACTGGGGATCACTTGTGCAGCTTTTGGCGATGTCACCTACAAGAAGGCAAGCCATTCAGGATTAATTGCATTAAAGAGAAATACTACAATCCCTAGGGGAACAAAATTACTCTGAAATTTGAGGGAAACTTACCTGTTCATTTATTGGCTGGGAAAATGCGTAACCATTTCCAACTTAAAATCAATTCCATTTGGTTTTGATGCACACTATTTGTGTGCTGATGTTTCTCTGCATGCTTCTCTCTCAGTAATATCAGGTAGCATATGGTAGCAAATATCTTTCAAGTCTGTGCTCTAGGGAAGGGAGTAGGAAAAAGTAGTTGGGTCTCTTATGGCACAACTGGAAGACATGAAGACTGCAGTGGTGAAGGTGATTTAAATGGTGCTTAGTTATATTTAGGAATGAGAAGGAATTTGAATTTGCTGAGCTTCATATATATGTGCATGTGTGTATATATATGAATATTGTGTGTATACATATAAAAGTATATATGTAAATAGCAAAAATGTTACTGCTTACTAGCAGTCTGTTAACTGAGGCTTTTTTTGGTAGATTTTTATCTCTTTGAGTGATCTGGAATACATATACATATGAAGCTCAACTACTGCCTAAATTCCAGGGCAATGGAAAAAAGCAAATGTGGGTTGTTGAGACTGTTTTTTATTTCTTTTGGGTCTTGAGTATTATGTAGGCTTAGTGATGCTCGAATGACAGATTAAGCAAATAGAACACTGCTGCTATTTATAACTAGCTAATTTTTCTTAAGTGAACCTTTGTATTTCTCCCTGAAGGCCTTTGTTTTGCACGAGGGTCTTACTGAATTTGATGCTGTATAGGGACATGGTAAAAGAAGATCTTTCCCAAAGAAACAATACTGAATATCCAGAAGGAGTCGTTGATTTGGCAACCCAACCCATAATCAATGAATGCTGTAGCCACAAGGCTGTTGTGAATCTGAGTGGTATATGGATCTAGCTGCCATTCTCTTTTTTATTATTATTTTTGTATATTGCATTAATTCTGACAACCATTGAGAAAATTGATCTTTTCTGGGTCTCTCAATTTCTGCTGGGTTGGTTTTAGATTCCTTTGGACTTTCCTTAAAAGCCATGTTTACTAGCCTCTGCTTGATACCTCTGTGCCCTCTTCTAGCTCTGCAGTCCATCTCTCTTCTTGCAACAGATCACTAGCCCCCATGCAAATTGTAGTGGAGGTGTGTGTTGGTCTAGAAAAAGGGAAGATACCCTAAGAAAAGAGGACATATGGAAGGGTTTAGAGGTAAAACAGCTTTAAAGGAATGACTTTCAGCTAACCTTTCCCCATCTTGGACCCATTTTCCCCTTCAATGAAGCTGTTCTGTAACTGTAAATGCATTTTGCCTGTAGAGCTGAGAAATCTTGAGGTAGCTTTGCCTTGTAGCAAGTACAGCACTTGATACCTAATGCAGCACTCCAAGCTGTGTGCTGCCAGAGGTAGAGACAGAGCTATGTGTTCCAAAGATGTCTCTGCAGGGCACACAGTGTGGCTTTCTGAGTGGCCTGTGGCCAACTGTAAGCCCCAGTTCCTTCTCCCTCAGATTTCAGCTGCCTCCCATCTTGTACTTGCTTGACAAGCGTGTGATGGGAATGGCTCCTACTGAGAGATTCAAACATCACTATTGATTTCAAGAAAAAAGATATTTTTAAGAGTTAAAGTGTTATAAACATACTTGGCAAATAGTAGAGGTGGCTTTGCAGAAATAATGACACTCTTCCATATCTCTGCTGCTTACTTTTTATAACTATTCTCAATCCTTTAAATATTTTTAAGTATTTATTTCCGAAGCCATGACTACTGTGGCAAGACACCATTATTTTTGAAGTTGCTGACTTGCTTCATTTTTATTGCAAAGGGGGAAGGTCAGCGTCAGCTGGAAGAGACAGTGCTGCTCCCTGATGTCATGCGGGAGCTCTATCAGCTGTGGCAGCACCTATCCACAGTGAAAGGCCAAGTGGCAAGCTGAAATATGTTAGAGGAAAGACTTGCTGGCAGATTGATGGAGAATGCTGACATACTTCTGTAAACCACAATACAGAGGGAGTTAATCAAGATCAGGAAGAGTGTCCGTCTTCCTGAGAAGTCATTTCCCACCTCAATTAGCTGGTAGTTTTGGCAAACACACACAATGGTTAGGCCCCGTCGGTCTGAGTGATGCTTTCTTGAGCAATGCTTACACTACTGCCTTTGCTGGCTCTCTGTGATTATGCTGCTGGCAATTGGCAGGCTTTGTCAGCAAGCCAATAAATCTTTATTGACAGGCTGAGCTCTATGTTTTGCTCAATGTCTCCTCTGAGAACAGCGAGGAAGAAGAGGAAATACCCAGACCCAGCATGAGTACATTGTCCATCAGAGGGTTGGCAGGAGTTTAATTTCTTTGTTACGTTAATTGTTGCATTTTATGAGGGATCCTGTGCATGTCTTTGTTGCTGGACTGGTCTTGTTGGGATTTTTTTCTGCTCATGCTGTTTGCATGCTCATTTGGTGTTTCATCTCCTGGAATGACCAACGTCTTAATTCTGTGCTGAAGTCCACTTCAGCTCTTTGAAGAAAAACAACATCTTGTACTAAATGATGACAAATATTCCCCAAACTACTGATCAAGAGGAAAAATGAGCCCTTATGCTTTTAAGCCTAAGCAAAGGCAAGCCATAAACATGTGGTAGGAAGGGATGATTTCTTTTAACCTTTTTACTATGGTCTCTGATATTATCCAGTATAGGTTACAGTCCTTTTGTTTTTCACTCTGAAATTGGCAGAGCTCTGCTACAGAGCTGCATTAATGTGTTTTTCCACTGTCTGTTCTCCAGTTTTTTGGTGTCCCTCAGCATAATGGAACTCTGTGCATTTTCTTCCTGCCTGACAAGTACTCTGTTATTGTTTTGGACCACACTGGAGGCTTTTTATAGTGAAAGATCTGGGCAGCAGCGTGTGATGCACTGACAAATTCAATAGCATGTCTTGAGGCTATTAGTTATTTATCCCTCCCACAACCCCTGCACTGAAGCCACCCTTTATTCTAGAAGTTCAATCAGAGCAGAATCGTATTTTTCTTCTTGTCTATCGATAATTAGAATCAATCTAGCTGTGGTAGGTGGATACCCTGGGCAAATGTTGCAGTTAGGCATAAGTATTGGACTAGGTGATGACAGTAAGCACTGCAGCTGCTCTGCTGACCATGATGCATGAGAGGTCTGTCTGTCTTACCACCTGTGAAGTGAGATGCTTTAATTATTCAAGGTCCAAGTCAGGCAGCTATTGCAGTCCCACTCCCTATACTACTCTTACAGCTACCTTTTATAATGGATAGGGTGCTCATCAAATTAAGAACTGTAGACAGTGCTGTGAATTCAGTCAAAGGTTTCCTCTTTGCTATGCTTTATGTTTTGAGCTATTTCATTATCAGATATAAGGTAGTATTTAATAAAATCTCCCTGCTGGAATACTGGCCTGTAAGATAACATGCTATCCCTGCCTATAGAGGAGAGGTTGGAACTAGATGCTCTTACAGTGCCCCAAACCATTCTATGAATCTTCTATGTTTTTGCATTAGGGAGGGGGGTTGTAGATCTATTGCAGGAGAAGCTGGTGCTGATCTCTTACCTCTGTCATCAAAATAGTGCATGTGGCATCACCAAGGTACTGCAAAGAAACAAATGTTTTGCAGATGGAAATGTATGAAAATACTGCTGTGGCTGTATGATCTCTTCCAAGATCCTAATGATGGAATCAGAGTTAATGGCCTAAGGTTCTGCCTGGGGAGCTTCAGGTTGGATACCAGGAGAAACTTCTCAGAATCTTTGGGCACTGGCAGAGGCTGCTCAGGGAGGTGGTAGAGTCACTGTAGGTGTTTAAGAAATGTGTAGATGTGACTGTGTAGATGGCAACTGGAGATTAGTCCAACATATATTTCTATCAGCATAATATTCCCCTCTTGCCCTCTCTTATCTCCCAGCTTCTACTTGTTCTACCCCCAGTGCCTTGTTACTGCAGAATTAAGGCAACCAAGCCACCCTCATGTGTTCCTCCAGCCTGCCATGTCCTCACCAGCCCTTTCAGGAGGCCTTGCTGCTAATTAGAAGCATTAGCACTTAGTGAAGGAGCAGTGGGTCTCTGTGAAACATCTCATGCATTGCAGAGTGAAGCTGCCTCATCTGTGGTTGATGCCATCCTGCGAGGGCACTAACAGCATCCTCTGGTACTGCTTGAGCTGGAGAAACTACTTTTGGGGCTGGAAGTCTGTGTGGAAATCACTGCTATCCTGCAGTGGAGGAAAAAAGAATTAATCCCATTTTCCCCTCCCTTTGTGGGCTGGAGGACTGCAGAGGACAGGCGAATGAGCCGGAAGGAGGGAGCCATGCCAAAAAGCAGGGCCAAACCCAACTTACAAAACCCCGAGTGCTTGGTTTCATGCAATCTTTGCTGCCAAAGCAGTGCTATTTTCTGGTATCCGTCAAGGCTGCCTTGCGCCTGGCATTGGGTGAGTCCCATGCAGGCACACTTCTTACCACACAAAGGCATCACAAGAAGCAGTTGGTTAACGATGGGTTTGCTTCCCCACACCTTATTCAGCATGGGCAGCATGAGCATTTCCCAGGGCTGTAATCCTGTCCCGGTCCTGGGGCTGGTGAGGGCAGTGCCCATCTGTTGAAGGGCTTCTATAGGTGAGAGTAAGCAGCTGGGAGGGTGCTTCATAAAGAAAGAGTGCGATGTGCACAGCCTTGTTGTATTCAGAGAGAAGACTGGAGGGGAAAAGGTGGTGGTATGGCTAGGTTCTTCAGTCCTTGCATCAAGTTCCCTGCAACAGCAGGGCAAAGCAGCTGCAGTAGCTTGCATGGAGAAGATCTCCTCTTATTGATGTTTCCAAGAATTGGAAGGCATTAGGATTCACGTGAAACAGAGATGTGAACAACTTGGAAATGCATGCCTAGACTCTAGGGTTAGTTTGAATCAAGAACAAAACTTTTGAAATTTTTTTTCCTCCCTTTCAGACATTTCCTTGTTAACATGTTGACCCCAAAATACTGGCAGCACTCAAATGCAGGACTCGTTATTATTGCACATTTCTGCCTTAGAGCTGGGTCCTTGCATCATAGAGTTTTATTTTTTCTCTTGAGTAGGTCATCTGCTTGGAAATCCTTGAAAGCAAACACTAAGGAAGATGCCTCCCTTAACTGCTGAGAGGGGCTAACACAATATTGCAGTTAGTGGAGCTTTTCCTGCCTGCTTAAATGTGAAGTCATGGTAATTGTACAGGCTGTCAGATCTCCAGTTATGGAGTATTATGTCCTGATGACAGCATCCCATGGGGAGCTCAGAACACAAATAATACACAAATAACTTGAGATGAATCTTGTCGCTCTCAGAAGTTGAGGGTGAAATGTTTTAGCCTGCTAGGGTATGATTGCAACCTGGGAAAAGTGCAATAGGGATAACACAGCTACACTTCTAACCATTGCAAGAGGGTCAAACATCCAGAGCAAGGCTCGCAGATGGAGATGCAGAAACTTTAGGTACCAGCCTGAGCCTCCATGGCATTTCCCTATGTTATCTCCCTAGCACCAACCTCAGTCACAGTTTGTTGCATTTCCCATGGGATCTGATGGCATGACCCAGGGAGCGAGTGATGGGGCTGCTCCATCCCAAAGACAGGCCTCCCATCCTGGTGGAGCAGGGACCCCATCCCACTCAGCATCATTCAATAAGCAGCCCTAAAAGAGTCACTCTCAGTTTGGCAAAACGTGAACTTTGCAAGAAGGCATATTCTCTGAGGGGTTTTGCAGCTTGGATTAGTGAGGTGCTTGCTATCAGCTGGCAGAGCTCACTGCCTTTTCCTGCCTGGCAGTTGCAGGCAGGGAATTGCTGATTGCTGCTCTGAAATCTGTCTCTTGCTTGGAGCTGATTCCAGAGCTACCTTGTCTGGTGCAGCTATAAGCTGTGGGAGATTTATATATTTAAGTGAGAAGGAGAAAAAAAAGTCAAACCTAACATCCAATTCCTCTGGGACTATGAAAGGAAGGTAACTGGAACCTGTTTTCCTATTTCTTTCTCAGCCTTATCCGAGAACAGCCAGCCTATCTGTAAGTGGCAACTGTGGAAAATGTGCTCTGGCCACTTGGTGTAAAAGATAGGCAAGACTCCTAAAAAATCTTCTCTGCAGCTTATCACCTTTCTGCTGGCTCCACAGCAAACTAGTGCCCCAGTGCAGAAGGAAACTGGCTGTCTGTGGGGCTGGACAGGGCCTCATCAACAACTGATAAGCTCCCTTGTGAACATTCAGACTTTTCAAGGCTTACTGTCCTTTCAAATACCACAGAAGCTCCAGCTGGGTATGTTCATGTAAAGCCAGCAGTAGAGCCAGCATTTGGGGATATGCATCTGGTTCTCCCTTGCTCTCCCTGCTGTTTCAGGGATGCTGCTCCTGGTTCCTACAAATACATTTTATAAAATTGGGTAGAGTTGTCTGAAGGTAGTTCTCCTTCTCCTTCCATCATACTAGTGCAAGACTGCAAGAATTCACCATGATGCTGCAATAGTAGCAGAAAGGAGGAGTGGATACGTGCATGAAAGAAAGTGGTGCCCACAGATTGGTGCCTGGATGTTCTGCCAGAATGGAGGCAGTGGCTCTATCTTACTATTGCTGGTGCCAGGGCAAGTGTGATGAGCTGTTGACTAAGTTTCTTTTTCTACTGTAACTTATAAACAAACACTAGGAAGAATTGCTCTTCAGCAGAGCATTCCTGCCTACTCTGGGGAGGGCAGTTATATGGTATGTAGGTAGAGAACAGACTAAAAGATGCTCTTATGTCAAAGTAGCAGGGGGAGTGGATGCCTCATCCCTGGGAGGCATTCAAGGCCAGGTTAGAGGGTGCTGAGCAGCCTG